GAAACTTCTCTCATGTTGTTAAATAAAACATTTATTTTGGGCCCCTGTGGCTCAAGACACTGGGGCCAGTCAGAACCGTGCTTGTCTTGCCTCTGCCAAGGGGTACCAGAGCCACGCCCTCCCTGTGGGTCCAGCCTGGCAAGGCCACCCCATTCTCCTGTGACAAGTCCTACCCCTCTCACACTGGCACTCAGCCACCTCCTGCTCCTGAGCCAGAGCAGAGACCTGTGCCAGGCTACACACTTGCTTATCTCCCCAGCCCAGTGCCAGCTGCAGGAGCCAACTCCAGACGGCACAGTTGTGGCTGCTCACACCCTGTCTTGTTCTCACAGGAGGGGGCTGCAGTTTAAGCGTGAGAGCCTGCAGGTTTCTGCAGTTGGCAAGAGCCCTTGAGCAGGGGTGGGAGCTGCTTTTCCAGCCCCAGAGACCTCACCAGAAAGGCCTTTACCTATGCTGCAGCAAGCAAGACCATGTTCTACACCACCACCTCCTCAGGAAGCCTTTGCACAATTTCAGGCCAGCACAGGACCAGCTAGACATTGCCAGGTGGACAGCTTGGCAACCAGGAGCAGAGATGCGTGGCTGCTCATGTCAGCCACACTCAGGCCAGCGCACCACCTCCATCCCTGCCTTCAGCTGAGAAGTTAAGACCAGAAGACGCCCAGCCACTCTGCTTTTCCTCCTGCTCCTCTCCACAGAAGACAACATAAGCAGATTTTATCTGGCCTTTATTAAAAGGAAAGTTATAAAAAGAGGTTCAGGAGCTCCCAGCAGCTCCGAGTTAGTAGTAGTACAAACCATTGGTTAGAGAAAGAATCATCCCTGCAGAGATATCCAACACCATCTGGCTCTGCATCCACAAAAAGGAAGTTTTCCCAGCTGCAGTCCTGCCAGCTCAAGCAGAGGACCAGGACAGAGCAGGCCGCCAGCCCAGGGAAAGTCTCCTCTCCTTCAGCTGCATGGATGGCAAATGCAGGTCCCAGGGGCATCCCGGTCACGATGGAGCAGCAGAAGCGCAGGAGGTGGATGCAGCTGGCATTTTAGAAAAGGCACTGAAGGGTTACCAGGTAGCAGCTCAGACACTAACCAGGTTCATTCAGAGAAATTCCTTTGCAAGGCCAGACAGCTCCATTCCAAATAGCTAAAGAGCCTCCACAGAGCAGCTGGAGGATGATGCTCAGTCACTGCTGCAGCAGACACTGCTCCCCTCAAGCTGCTGCGAGAACACCCTGAGGGGCTCTAAACTAGGCAAGAGCCCTCTGCCCACGGCTGGCCTCACAGGAACACAGTACTGGCTGCTTGGAGGCTGCACAGCTCTGAAGGAAGCAGTAAGAAATGGTCATTATATAAAAGAATTTGGCCTGTGTCATCTTCTGTTTCTCCCCTTCCCAAGCCCTGCTAATGGCAGGGCTTCTCAGCTGGTGATCTGCACGGGTATCTTCCAGCAGAACAACATCTGGTCCTGGTCATCCACCAGCTCCCACTTCACAACCAGTTTAATCTGAAAGAAAGCACAGGGAAATGAGAATGTTCAGGAAACCTCAAGGCAAGGACACGGGGAGGGGAATTATCACTTGTGTGGAGCAAGGAGGTCCCGGGAGCTCTGCGCAGAGGACAGAGCTGGGGCATTGCCTCCACTGCAGCAGGTGGGCCATGCTCATACGGAGACACCTGGATCATCTTACACGGGTGGAGGGTTCTGCTGCACGACACAGCAGGCCTCCACATGCTGCACTCAGATCCCCACTTTAGGAGTAAGCAGAGTAGAAATGCCCTGCAGCCTCCCAGCTGAACCACACTGTGGGGCCCAGCACCCCCAGTCTGGGAGCTGGGTGCAGCCGGCTCTGCAGGGAGGCACAGTACTGGAGGACACTGGGCAGCTGAAGCCACTTTTCAGCAGCTGGTGGCAGGCTGCTTCCTCTGTGGGGTCTGTCCCAAAGCAGGAACTTGTGTAACAAGAGTCACGCTCGCAGCAGAACTGCCAACAGATGGTCTGAGGAGTCTTCTGACCTCTCCCCGCCACCGCAGGACACGGTGTCCCTCCTCGAAGGCAGGTGGGGCTGCCCCAGGAAGGGCAGTGGCTCCGAGGAGCAGCCCAGCTCCCCGCTTACTTACGCTGGGGTACTCGCTCTTCACGGGGAGTTTGTTCAGGTAGCTGTAGGAACGGCCCTTCTGAATGGGGCACTGGATCCCGGACTTGCACCCGTCAGGCTCGGGAATGGGAAAGGGTATGTCCACGTGCAGCATCTCGCCGTACACCCTCGCTTTGCTGCCCTGGCTCTCGATCTCTGCGGAACGGGAGAAGCGCGAGCGCGGCACCGGAGCAGGGAACACCTTTCCACCTCCCCCCTCCCGGAGGCTGCAAGAACACAGCTACGGGACGCTCCTCGTCCCCGGCCGCTTCTTCCCACCGGGACCC